CAACGCAATTCCTCGACAGAGGCGCGATGCATAGCCTACATGGACTTCTACGACCGAGGCTAAAGCGTGGAACGACATCGTCAAGGATCTCGTGGTGGTCTATAGGAGAGCGCATGTCATGTCTGCCACGCGCGGCGCTCACCACAAGGCATACGAAGGCGCAGTAACGACTCTCTACCGCTTGGAGCTCGAAGCAATTGCGAATGATCCGACCAGGGCTACCGAAGCACCCGAGCCCGCTGCGCTCAAGGCGGTGAGGACGAAGATTGGGCAACCACCACCCAAAGCGGACGTCCGCTTCCAGATCGACGCCATGTTCACTCTCTGTGAGATCCGCTTCATGCTCGCAGAGGTTGGCGTAAGCCGTGTCGACGGTCTCCCCACGACTGCTACGGACGAGTCGGGTGCGAAACACCGCAAGCTTTGGACGTCTTTCGTGACTTTCTTGTACCAATCATGCGCGGTCGACGCTCGTAAAGCCCTTACCATGGCGCAAAACTCCTCGGCATCTCGCCAGACAGCAAAATGCTCAGTCTACATCCTTCGCGCCGAGTTCGAAGAGTTCCGCTCCCGGATGATGGAAGACGAGCGGAACCTCTCTCGTGGGGACCGTCGACCGTCCATCGCGGATCGCACGCGCCTTGGCGACCAGGTGAAGGGCAAGCGAGATGACATTGTTCACGCCGTGCAGACGTATCAAGAGCAGTATGTTCGCAGCCGGCCAGTGGACAGCGTTGTCGGTATGAGAGATGAACGACGGTGGTTCCAAGACAACTGTGGATGCAAGGTAGACCGGTTTATCAAGCAGCTTGAAGAACTGGAGTCGTTCGTCCGCAAGGGAGGTATGTACGAGCCCTTGTCAATGCAGGAGCGCGAAATGATTGTCAAGACCTTCGGCTTCGGTAAGCCGCTATTCTGTTATCAAATGTCGGGTCTCACTGATAGTCTAAAGGCTACACCGGCCACTTCTATAATTGTCCAAACGGACACCCGTATACTATCGGAGAGGTAAGCAAAATAACCACTGCTCTTGTTCGCGTCTCACGATGGTTCCAGTGTGGTGGCGCCATGGAGACGTCTACATGCCCAGAGTGCGGTGAGCGCATCGGAGGAGGGGGTCATCGACTCCTGGGCTCCAATACAGCAGCCAAAGAGTTCGAGACTATCCTTCGTAAAACAGGTGCCCAGCAGGGATTCTACTGAGGACTCCTTAGGTGTTACTATGCCCATTGCGTGTTCCAGAAATGTATTTTTGTCTAACTCAGCCCTTAACTTGGGAGCGCAATTATATATATTGTGTCTCCTATCGATGCACCAATACTTCTTGTACAGCTTCTAGTACAAATGTTGAGATCAAATGGAGGAGTCATCGTCGAAGTCGTCAGTTTCGCCTGAAGGAAAACAGAACGTCTTCAGGATCCGATATCTATCCCACGGGTCGCGCGACGTACCAACAAGAACCAGGAACCAGCTGATGATAAGCAGAGCAAAAATTAATATGCAGCTCATCCACACGAAGGCGACAAGAGCTGTGAGCACGCGACAGGACTGGTCGCTGTAACACCAGGTAAGGTTCCCCCACTGGAGCTGGAGTTACGATGTCAGTGCCTGAGAAGCGTCCACCGAGAGCACGGGGAGGAATACCGTAGCGAACACTGCGCCGACGAGCCAAAGTGCGAACAAGATCGGCAGATCGTACTTTTCGGCATCATAATAGCTAGAAATGCAAGCGATGTTAGTAGGGCGTGTGAACGAGAGCTATGAGGATTGAGGTACCGTCGCAACCGAGTGGTCCAGGCATAGGTCAAAGCCGAGGTGACGATAAGCTCGACAACGATAGGATCTATGAGGTGATGTCCATGTGAGCATTCAGCGTGGTGGGCTGCATATGCGGCGAATGCGCATCGCACACACCGTGGTAGCTTTTGCTACTGTTCAGCGGGTCTGTGGGCGGGTTGTAGAGTGTATAGTGGAGCCGTGCACAGCTCAAGCCGAGAGTCACTATTGAGAACATCCACTATATGGTGACCGTCGCTCAGACAGGAGCCTCAAAATCTGCGAGTATCTGGTATGGTCGCTTACCAGAAATCCGCGAATTTCCTTTCGTATGGTGACGGATGTCATGGTCTGTGCCATAGTGCGAACAGTGTCCGTGAGCACTACCAGAGTAGTAGACAGAGGATGCCGAACCGTCCCTGGGTCCGAGCGGATCCTATATGCACACTGCGACTCGACAAGCACATGGTACT